TCCTTGCTCCTAGTAGTACGGCCAGGAGCCCCTAGTAGCTTCTTGCTTGTAGTAGCGCTTTATGCGTCGCGCTATGTGATGGAAGCTTTGGTGAATGTCACGAAGACCAAGTCATGAAAGGACAGGGGAAGGCTTCGTCTTCAAGGGCACGGCAAGAAAGCATGATTCGCTGCTTCGAGAATTGATTAAGTCCAAGTCGAGCCAGTGGAGGGTCTATGAGAGAAACAATCTTTCTGCAACAAAGGGAACAATTTGCTACTAGTAGCTGCAGTAATGCCCTTGTTACTAGCGATGCTCCCAATAGCGATGCCCTTTGGTATTGAAGCATTATTCGTTATTACTCGGGGACGTACGTTGCAATGAGGGTGTCTGAAAGTGTCTTTTCTGGAACGTCAAACTCTGAGGTGTATATCCCCCGTGTCCAATCCCAGCTGGTGCGGGTCTGTGGGAAAAAATAGAAGGAACAAATCACTCCACTCTTCTTGTGCCTATTTTTTTGTTTGGCGACCTGGCCCCCTAATAGCAATGGCCTCCGCCCTAATAGCAATGGCCTCCGCCCGAATAGCGATGGCCTCGCCCTAATAGCGCGTGCCTCCGACCTAATAGCGATGGCCTCTCCCTCAGATTGCTGAAAGTTCCATGTGCAAAATAAAAGCGCGAATGGCAATGCAAAGCGTTCGCATACACTATCGGGCGCAGTATCACCAGAGCCATCACTCCAGAAAAGCAGGCACGATTCTAGCGTCCTTTCTGTAGTATAAGGCCAGGAGCCCCTAGTTATCTTGAAAGCAAATCCGTGGTAGTTCGGCGCGTGTTGAAGCAGCTGGGCCGAACCAGTATCAACAATCAACAACACTCTCTAGTCCAATCGGCTATGATGCAAGACTTCCCCTCTGCAGCACTGCATGTCTAGCCACACCACCTAGATATATGCCTCTGATTCACAGGTTCCATCCAGTTGCTGGCATTTTTAGGCTTTGCGGCCTGCTGGGGACAAGCCGAATGCCGAAGCAGCCGACCATGCTCATATACCCAATGAAAATGCCCAATTGTTTTCGAGCACCTACTAGCGATGGCCTCCAACCTGAATGCCTAACGATACAAACATTCACAACTGTCGCCACTCTGGGCAACCAAACTGCCGACGCAGCCGTGGCCAAAGCTTCCGCGACTTGCTCTGAGGCCGTCCTTCAAGGTCAAGCCACGCACCGTTTCTTTGCGGTTGGAGGCCATCGCAATTAGGTTGGCCGTGACTAGGTTGGAGGCCATCGCAATTAGGTTGGAGGCCATCGCAATTAGGTTGGAGGCCATCGCAAT